CAAGGGACTATGGTTATGGTACACAGTTGATTTGTGGTGGAAATTCTGTGGGGACTACATCTGAGAAAAGAAACCAAACATTGGATCTCTCTGGTGGCACAAGGGGTTAAGCATGGCACTAGGAAGTTATCTGTACTGCAGCATAAGTTCAATCCTTGGCCAGGGAACTGACCCACATGACACAACAGACCTCTCTTATCTCACCCACTGCACCTCTTAGCAGTGTAGTTCATTAATTGCTTGTTCTGCTCCCTTCTCTGTCTCTAGTAAATCATCTCACCCCCTACATCTCTGGCCTGTACCCCAGTTCTTCTATGCATAAATGATTTTTTTTTTCAAAAAAGCAAATACTGTACAAAAATGACCAATGATGTAAAATATATATGTACAGAAATTATTTTTTAAAATAATGAATAAATCAAAATAAAAATTCAGTTATTTGTCACTTGGACAATGCAGTTAGAAAATATTTCCAGAACCACAGAAAATTATATTGGATACTATTGCCCTAGAGATTCTGATTCTGTAGGTATGGGATGTTCTAGTTTTGGTAGTCTCTCTAGAGATGACCTATTTATTGAGGCAGACTTGAACTACTTGAGTGGTTCTTCAGGTTGTACCACCTGTTATTTTCCCATGTAACTTTTGTTTCAGTCAGTCTGTTAGTGCTTTCTGTCCATTTGTTTTACTTTTGCCTACTTTTGCTAGATACTGCTAGTTATTTTCAGTGTCTCCTCTCCTTTCCTGTCTACCAGAGTACTGCATTCTCTAACAGCCTCATGACTGGTAGAAAGTTGGTGCCCCTCAGCTTCATAGGTGAACTTGGTTGACAAAGAAAACAATAGCTCTTTACCTAACCGGTTCAGGAATGATTTTGTAACCAAATAATATGTGAGAAGAGGTAGATTAGAAATAATTAGGAAGAGTTTCTTCACTGTTAAGAGACCCATGGAAAAAGAAAACTTTTCTTCTTTTAAACATTGTGTTTAGATGATGCCTACCACTGCTTGATCATTTACCTGTCTGCTTAACTCCACCATCAAAGATGTCAGGGCCATCTTTGTAACAACTGAGTTCTTACAAGGACAGGTTCCTGGATATTCAGCTCTTCAGTCTACCTTTTTGTTTTCGTTTTTTAAGATTTTCTTTCTGTGTGCATACAAGAATTAAGGGTGTAGCCAGAGGTGCGGAAGGTAAGAGGCTTCACCAGAGACAGAGTGGGATGTAAACAAGCATATTGACTGAAATACACTGCTGAAGGGAGCAGTGAGTGAGGCAGGAGAGGTCTGCTGTGCCATGTTGGTTACCTCCCTGGCCAGGGATGGAACTTAGTGCTATGGTGTAGCAAATAGCTTCATTGTGCTGCACTTTAACCCCTTGTGCCACTAGGAGGCCCTGTTGGCATTTATTTTTGAAAATACTTTTAGAGTATGACATTCAAATGTGACTTTTTGGGTCAAAGAAGTAAGAACATAAAGGCTTTTGAAATTTTTACTTTTGGCCTTCATTTTCTAGCTATTATGACTGATTTAAGTATCTTGTCCTTTGTTTTTTTAGCTGTCACCACTTACCAACGAAGAGATAACTGCTGGAGAACAATTAAAATCTCACATGTCAGATTTATGAAGAGAAATGGAATTGCAGAAGGGCACTATAATGGCAAGAGATAAATTCCAAGATATTCAGGAGGATGTATCAACACTTGAGTCTAGATATAAGAATATGGTGAATGAGATTTGGCTTGGTTGACCAGATAGTGAAGCTTTTCACCAGTGGGGAATATAGGAAAGATACAATGTTATAAACTTTAGTCAAAAGGATTTAAAATATATGTGCACACATACTAAATCTTCTGATTTTTGGTAAAGAAGTCTGTTAACTATGTTTGCATCCATTTTTATAAAATCAGGATAAAATAGGTGTCCTGACCTATCATAATAGAATATTTATACAGTGGCATTATTAGTCAAGAAAAATATGAACATGTTTTGAAAACTAAAGGACAGGAAACACTTGTATTATACATTGTATAGATGTATGTAATTCTATTTTTGAAAAATTTGATTGTAGATCTATTATATTATTAGATAGTGCTAATTTGTAACCTAGAGTTTACCACAAAACCTAACTGTTGTAATTACTAGCTTTTGGTGACAGCTTTTTCATTTTTTTCTATTTTGCCTGCTCATTTTTAGCACTATGAAGTCTATTTCAAATGTTCTTTTCAACCGTCCTTATGATGTTTAAATACCTTTGTACTCCAACTAAAGATCTTGTTCATTCTGTATAAAATCAGTTTTCTTGTGTTTATAGTCTTAAAAAAACTATTGGCAATGTGGTCATTGTCCAATGTAGGCACAAATTTTGATAGCAAGTTTTTAAGCATAGGGTTATTTATAATAGCAGTACAAATACTAATCAGTACAGTCTGATTAATAGCAGGTAAGTAGAAAAGTAATACATGGCATATCTACACAATAAAAGATCAAATTGCCAATAAATTATAGTTCATATTTTGAGAAATGTTAAAATGATGCTAAATGAGGAAGATTTGTAGTTAAGATTTGGTTTTGAAGTCAGACAGATGTTAATTGCAGTTTTTAAATTCTAGCAGTTGTGAGGCTGAGCAAATTACTCAGGGTAGTTTGAAGCACAATGATAAAGTGTTTGAGTTTAGTATTTAGTGGTAATCTTTCAATAAGTGATATTTCCACTTAATGAATAAATGGAATAGTGTAATAAAAATAAAGCATTGAAGAGACTAGTACAAATATATCAAATGTTCTGGAGGTTATAGAATTCTACTTTTATATAATTAAATTTTTTTCTGATATACAGAGTGTTTTTGCCCACTAGCTAACTTGTAATTGCTGACAAATAGTGTTGGGTCTCTACCTTGAGTTAAAAAGAAAATGTCCAGCTTGAATATTTAATGAATCAAAAGCATTCTTTTTCATCTACAGAGAAAAGAGTTATCCCTTCCAACAGTTGTTAATTTTCTTTCATACTAGGCAATTAATATTAAGGAAGTTTCTGTTATGCGATGGCTCTGAGATGTGATGCTGATGGGTGGGATTGAAAAATAATAGTATGATGAAAAGGTCATGATAGGTTCTTGATGGGAACACATTTTTCTTTTCAATTAAGGGATGAAAGTTAGATTGTACTTTTTTTTCCATCTGTTAGTTCTTCTCACCTACTCCCCTTAAAAGTGTTCTCTGTATATTTATACTCATTTGTTTCCCAAGCTTCACTGATTGCCTTTTTGTGGTTGACTCCCACACATAACTTCTACTAGATCTAGAATCATATTTCATAAAATAACCTCTAACTGGATACCCAAACATGATTTTGTTATTTTGTTAGTGGACACAATATTGTTAGCTGCAATTTAAAGTTTGTGCCACTTCCTTCTTTGTCAATAGAAGCTAACTTTGTGTTTGTATTACTCAGTGCTTTTTTTTTATTATTATTCTTACTACTCTAGATTTTATTTCTTATCTGGACTATTACTGTTTTTGTCTACAAGACAATAATGTTTTTAGGTCTTAACTTAAAAATAATACAAATTAATTTAAGTTGTAGTTTTAAAATTTTGTATTGTCGGAGCACTCCCTGGTGGCGCAACCGGTTAAATCACCTCATTATAAAGCTCTATGAAGCCACTGCAGCAGAGTTCAATTCCTGCCAGGTTGCTGACCCACATAGTGCAGCAGACCTCTCCTAACCCGCTCTGCTCCCCTCAGCAGTGTACTTTGTCAATCTGACTGTTCTGCTCCCCACTGTGTCTCTGGTGAATCCTCTCACCCACCACACCTCTGGTCTGTACCCCAGTTCTGTAAGCATAAGTAAATAAATCTTTTTTAAAAATTGTATTCTTTTTTATTGAGGTAATGTTTGTTCACAATAGTTTTGACTCACAAATACTTTACAGGTGTTAAGTTCTTACCTCTTCAGATGTATGTTATCATGCCATATCTACTACCAAAATAGCCAGAATCCTCCACCACAGTCTATGGCCTCCTCCCCCTTAAATTAATGTTACTATTTTTTAAGATGCTTTGGGCTTTAATTTTCACATATTGAACATAAAATACTGACAATGGATAAACAATAGGGGGAAAGATTCTTCAGCAAAGATCTGGAACTCACTGACTTGTTAAACACTATAAAGAGAACAGTCAAGTGAACAAAAAGGAGTTTAACAGTTTTTAACAGTATAACTGAAAATAAAGACCCAACTAAGCAACCAACCAGCTTCTCTTCTACCCACTGAAAGAGAACTTTAAATGAACTTCTAAATTTTTTGAGGCAGCTTAAAAAGAGAGAGGGTAAGAAAGACAGTAACTGTTGCAAGTAGAATACTCAGGATATGCTCCATAATTGTAATTGCGGTATGGGTTACACAAGATAAAATTAACAATTAGCCATATTAAAATGTACAACGAAGGACATTTTATTACAAGTAGTGTGCATCAATCACTTCTATGAGTTCTAAAACCGTAATTCTTGGTGAAAGAATTTGTCAGTGATACATAATCTTAAATTGTATCTTCGTCCATGGTTGAGTAGTAAAAAAATGTTGCCTACTAGTTGTAAAAAGTCCAAATATCGGGATATTTAAGAACTTTTTTCTAGACTGTTGATTTTCTATCTGTGCTCTCTACTTTGGGCCCAGTGTAATGGTTACTCGCAACAAACCAGAAAGGAATAATTAAGTTCAAATGACGAACTTGTAATTTCCTCACACCTTTAATGCTTGCACTCTCCAAACATCTGTACTAGAAAACTGCAGAAAGCCGACGTCATTATATCTTAGTACAGCTGACACGGCTGTAGTTTGTCCCACGGCCGTAGTCGCTTCAAATGTCAAGAAATGCAAGGTCGGGTGGGGTGTGGGTCTACACAGTCCACGATCTCTTCTCCCCCACCGCCAAAATGAGAAACTACACCCCTCTAGATTTCACAATCTGAAAGTCTGAATTTCGGCTTCCTCCCAGAGAACCACTAACCACGAATCGTCCGGATTACGGTTTCTCAGACCAACAGTAGCCAAATCGCCGAGTGTAGTTGAAAACGCGGATTTCCTGCGCTCCACCCTTGAAGCTGAGTCTGAAAACCTGGGGGGGTGGCTGCTGAGTCCGCGTTATCCACAAGCATTCCAGGTGGTTCAAACTTCGGCGCGCAAGTTTGAGAAGCGGCACTGCCCCACCCCAAGGGGCGGGGCGGGGCGGGGCGGGGCGGGGCGTAACGCCCAACTCCGCGCGGATCGCGCTAGCCTGCGGCCGTAGTCACGCAATCCTGCGGCAGCGGCCACTAAGTCTCGTGTGCTCCCCCGCACCGCGCGAACAAGGGACCCGCCTCCGCTCCACGCCCCTCACGCGGCGTCTAGTGCGCATGCGCGTCCGGATGCCGACCCTCGCTGTCGCGCCTCCAGCTGCCGTGGTTACCGTTGGTGTTTGCGAATTCCCTGCAGCACCTTCTTTGCTGGTAAACCAGCGCCGCGGGGCTTCGGCAGCGGTTCCACAGCGCGCGCCTGCATCACGTGGGCTGAGGCTCCCGCGCGGTCGGAGCGGCGGCTGAGCGTGAGGAAGGAGTGCGGCTACCGCTCGCCCTCCCACTGCGCCCCAGGGCGGGCGCCCGGAATAAAAATGGCGAAGTGGGGGTAGTTGGCGCCGAACCCGAAGCGATGGGGCGCGCAGAAACGGCAGTCCTAGCTCCCTGACGTGGGCGCCGAGCTGCTCTCGGCGACGATTTAACCTGGCGACCTCGGGCCGGCGCCTAGTAGGTCAGACCACGGACTCCGCGGGTCGCCGAGGGCCCCGCCGAGAGCCGGAGGCGATGGATGAACAGAGCGTGGAGGTGAGGGGCGTTGGGGCGGGTGGTGGTTAAGTCTCCCCCGGTGCCCCGCTGAGTATTCTGTATTCGGGTCATTCTGTCCTAGTCCTCTCCTGTAGAGCACCTCCACCTCGCAGCTACCGCCGTGAAGAGGGCTGGCCCTGTGCTGGTTTTGCAGCCCGCCGAGTGCCTTGTGTTCTGACCGTTCCGCAGTCAGGTGGTGTGTATCCTGGACATTTCAGGATGTCTTGGCACCGATTCTCAACCCATAAGGTTGCAAACTATACCCTATGCAGAGCAGAAGTGCAAATTCATCAGACTTTCCTTGCTTCTCTACACAAGTTCTTGCTATTTCACGCGTGGACCCAAATGTTTCTCCTAAAGGGTAAACATTTCTTCCCAGCAGTACATTTTACAGACTAATACCCTTTAGTTGAATTAGGATACACTCTACTGTCCTATTTGACTGTTGTTTTCCAGAACACCCTTTTTTTTTACAGGCTCTTCTAAACTAATTTCAAATGGTCAGGATATTTACATAAAGACCAGGAACGTTAAAAAGAAAAAAAAAAGGTTGATTATTGGACATAATTATATAATTGTCAGATTTATAATACTAAATCTTTGCTTGTTAGTAAGGGGCACCTTCTTACTGGACAGTTCTCTTTAAGTTCGTTTCCGAGGGGTCTTAATTGTCACACTCCAGGGTCTTCATTCTGTCCTTGCAGAACCATGATTAGGGTCCTCAGTAAGTTTCTCCTTAGTTACTCTTATGACATATGATAAACTTATTGTAACCTTAACTTGCCTTTAGGAGAATTTAATTTTCTTGAGATGGAGTAAAAACGTAAGTACTTTGAAAAAGTCGTAAGTGTATGTTTCTTTGTATCTGTGTTCTTGTCATTTATTTCCAAAAATGATATATCAGAAGCTTGCACAGGCCAATACTTTTCAATTTATATAGTTGTTTTTTTTTTTTTTCCTTCTCACAGCCTTTTTAGACCTACCGCCAATAAGGACAGAATCTCAGGTTGGAATCTGTAGCTGGTGGTTTTCAGTATTGGGTGGATGCTGATTTCTAGTGATAGAGGATACTGCCACTGGAATATGTAGTCAAAAAAATTTGAGGGGGAAATACATTTTTTTTTACAACTTTTAAAGAACTATAAAAGCAATCTATTCCACCTTGGGAGAATTGTAGAATAACTAAAAAAATTTATATTGCTCATTCACTCATAATTGTTACTAAATAATTAAAGAAATACTTCTAGTGATGCTTTCATAGTCTATGTTAACTACTATACTTTAGTTAATATTTGAACATTTGGGCTACAGCCATATTCTTGCTATTGTAATTAATTAAGGCTTCTGTGAAAATATTTGTGCATAGGCTGTGTTTGCATATCATATCTTTTTTAGAATACCATTGTGAAACTTACCAAAATGGAAACACTTTTTCCAGGAAATGGTCTTAGTTACTAGGTCCTGATAAAGAATATAATGAAACTGAGATGTTATTAACCCATAATGAATATAAATATCAAGTGACTTATTTTAAGCATGCTTTTTATTTTACTCTTGATTCAGTAACCTAACATGTTGTACCTTACATACTTTATTGTTTTCAGAGCATTGCTGAGGTGTTCCGATGTTTCATTTGTATGGAGAAATTGCGGGATGCACGCCTTTGTCCTCATTGCTCCAAGCTTTGTTGTTTCAGCTGTATCAGAGTAAGTTGTATCTCTATTTCTACACCTTTAGTATATGTAAGACATATTGTAAAATTAACCATTTTCTTTGTCCTTTTTTTTTTTCATCATTTTATGTGTTGTACCTGTTGGCATTTTGAAAGTCTTGAATGTATTTTCTTTAATGAGGTGATCATTGATCTACGTTGCTTAGTATAATGGAGGTGAATAAACATCAGAATAACATGAAATGTCTGTGAACCAAAGATTACTGAAATTTTAGTGTATATACTTTCTTGAATCACTGCACATTTAATAATATGCTTGCCTGCATAATGTTTGGGGTTGAGGGATACTGAGATAAATGGCAGAATGCCTGCTCTGAAAGAACTTGGACTTAATTCAGGGAATGAATTGGACTGTTTTATGTTTATATTCAAGCATGTACATAGAGGCATCAGTGTGCTGTGAAACTCAGAGGGACAGTTTATACTTATTTAAGATGGCGAAAAGCTAATAATGGGTTTAAAGGCAAAAAATAAAATTATATATTTTTAAGACATCATAAGGTGAATATAATCCATTGGCTTTAAAACTTGAATGTAGGTGGACATCTGAAAACTGTGAGGAAACTCAATCTAAAACAGAAGGCATTATTTTGGTTATACGTATTGATTCAGTAATACATCTATAGACCACAATTGAAAACTGCCCTTGTCCACATTATTTTTAGTAGATTATTTCCTTTACAGAGAGAATAAAACCCTTCAAACAACTACTCAGCTCCAAATTTCTACCTAAGGAAGAGCAATTATCTGTAATTCTGAAATAATTTACTTCCAGCCAGTCAGGAAATTATGGAGCTGATTTTGAACTCTAGAAATGGTCTTTAGAGTCTGCTTTTTTGGCTAGTATACCATGTGCAGAGGACCTAAGTTTTATACCAGGCTAGTTCTCCCACCTGTACTCTGAGAGACTCGGTCTTTTCTCAGCTTTATATACTCAGCTTTCAAATGTGGATAACAAGATCAGCCTCAAAGGTGTGGTTGTGATGTTAAATGTGATAAGCTTAGAGATAATTAAAAAGCAAAATAGTATCCAGTTATAAAGTGTTATATTCTGTTAAAATAGCATTATAGATACATCATGACATAGATATATCATGATCTGTATTTTATAAATAGTGAAACTGAAATTAGAGAAATTAAGTTATTGGTTTCCATCCTATGGCTTATTAGTAGTGTTCTGATAACTGATTCTAGACTCAGTTTATATGATGAAGATTCCAGTGTGTGTGTCACCACTGGTGGTTATTTATTTTTTTACTTTTTTCTATCATTTAAAGGCATGTATTTCTTAATATTTCTGCTGGCATTCTCTCCTGAGATTTCTGGGAAAACTAATCTGGTTTGGGTAATTGATTTAATGTTTCAGGTTTAGCTATTATTTCTGCTTATGAATGGCCCCTAATTTTATTCCTATACCATTAAACTATAAATGTGTTACCGGATTGTCTTGTCTGCATCTTGAACTTTGTTCCATATCAAATTATTTTCTCAAATTGACTCTTACATTAGTGATTTTTAGTCAGTTATTATCCTTTAGTGTCATTTGTATCTGTCCTACCTTCCCATTACCACTATTACCATTCTAATAGGGAAATAACAGACATTTATTAGAGTCCATTTATTAGTTTAGAGTTATAACTCCCTCTATATTGAGGTTTTTCTTCTCTCAATCCATTTTTTGTCATGTTGCCACATGACATATTCTGGTAATGTCAATTCCCTCTCCCCCCAGAAGTGTCAGACATTTATTGTTTAAAGGATCAAGTCTAAAAATATTAGCCTATATTCAGACCGTCTGGATGATCTGGTTTTAACCTTCCTTTCTAGAGTTAGATTGGTTCCTGAATGCACCGTTTATTTGTTCATCATTTTAAATGCCTGCTTTATTGGAGTCAAACATTGACTTCTTAAGGAGTTGTGAAATTATTGAGATATAGACCAGAAAATAAACAGATAAGTGATAAATACTAATAAATGTGGTGAAGAAAAAAAGAAACCACATTTAGATGGGTATAGAGTGGGGAACTTGAGGAGAGGGGATGGATGTTTAGATAGGGTAAGCTGGAAAAGCTCAGATGACATTTGAACAAAGAATAAAACATGGGAATTATGTGAATGTCTGGAGGAAGAAAATCCTATGCAAAGAAGTGAGAAGTACAGAAACTGAAACAGAAATATGTTTAATGTGTTGAGAAATAGCAAGGAAATCAGCGTAGCTGGATAAAGTATGGAAATTAGGGAAAGGAGATGTGTTTGGACATGGAGCTAGGAGCCTTGGTAAAAATTTGGGATTTTTTACGCGTAATGGTAGCTATTAAATGCTTTTGAGTAACAGGTAATTAACTCTTTATTGAAAAGTAATTTATGTTTTAAAAATATCACCCTTGTTACTGTGTGGAAAGTGGAAAGGAGACAGGTGGAAGAGGGAGTGAGATAAGTTAGGATCTGCTTTATTAGTGAAGATTGACAGAATAGAATAATAATAGTGAAGGTGGTGAGAAATAGGGAAATTACGGAATATAGAGCCAATTAAGTTTGCCTATAAATGGGATGTGTGGAATATTTTTGATGGCATCTGCACGAATGAGTTGTTTTATTTTATTTTATTTTTTTAAGATTTATTTATACATAGAAGAACCGGTGTGTAGGCCAGAGGTGCGAGGGGAGGGGGTAAGGGTAGTGAGAGGATTCACCAGACACAGAGTGAGGAGCAAACAGGCAGATCTACTGAAATAGATCTACTGCTGAGGAGAGCAGCGGGCAAGATAGGAGAGGTCTGCTGTGCCATGTGTGTTAGCTCCCTGGCTGGGGATGGACTTTATGCTGCAGTGGCTGCCCCTTCTATTTAGCTTCATAGTGCTGAGATTTACCTCCTTGCAACCACCAGGGATGTCCCAGTTTTAAATTCTGAGGTAGGGAAATTTGAGCAGGATTGAGTAAGCTATAGATATAAAAGTTGTTTTTTTAAATATGTAGGCTTGAGATACCTATTATACATCTAAATGGAGAAGCTGGCAATTGGAAATATGAATCTCCAGATGGGAAAGAGAACTTTAGAGAAACTGAATCATTATACAGATAGTGTTTAAAGCTACACCACTGAATGAGATCACCAGATTACCTCCTATAGGAAGAGCCCTTAGCTCTGAACTCTGGGGCACTCAACATTTAGACATCTGGAGGAGGAGAGTCATCAGAGAAAAACAAAAAGGAGCCATGAGTGAAATATCACAGAAGTAGAGCAAAAACTTGTTTCAAAGAGGAGTATGCTAGCTTTGTCATATGTCAGTTCTCTGGCTTGAGAATGGACCACGAATTTCAGAATGTGTAGGTTCATTTGGTGATCTTGGTGAGTAATTTTAGAAGAACATCAATTAAATGATGGCAGATTACAGAGAGTAAATGAAACAGCAAGCATTTAAAAAATAAGGTGGTGTTTTAGAGGGGATGTTAAAAGAGTTAAGAGTTTTTGTTTTTCTTTTAGGAAAAAGTTTGTGACTTGCTGGGATTGAACTAGTATAAAAAAATAACAATGCTGGTGAAAGAAGGCATAAAGTCCTTGAAAACACCACACAACCATATTGTTCATTTGAATCCTCCCTTCTCTTCCATCGTATCTCTTTTCACTTTACCAGCATTTAACTATGTGAGTTACATAGTTAAATCTGTGACTGTCCAGATACTTGTATCTCTGAATAAAGCAAAGATTCGACTTACCCACTAGTTGCTGATAGACCAGACTTGGGCTCACTCACATGCCCATGGCTTTCTGGTGCCTTTGCACTGCAGTTTCCACATTCACAGATTCATTGAATCCTTCACTTAATTATATTCAGTATTAAGGTTGTAGCCATTCTCATTTACTACATCTCTTAGGTATTAGTTAACATTTTCTCCTTAAGATCAGGGGATAGGCCCTCCCTGGTGGTGCAGCGGGTTAAAGCACTGCACTAAGAAGCTTAAGACACTTCCACATGAGTTTGATCCCAGCTTGCCCGGGAGGTGACCACATGGCGTGGCATACCTCTCCTAACCTGCCCGCTGCTCCCCTCAGCAGTGTACTTTGTCCATCTGCCTGTTCTGCTCCCCACTCTGTTCCTGGCGAATTCTGTCACCCTCTGTATCTCTGGCCTGTACCCCAGTTCTGTATGAATAAATAAATCTTTAAAAAAAAAAAGATCAGGAAATGTACACTGCTATCAGTACTTCTCTCCATTATACTTTTCCCCAACCCCTAGTAACTTCTTTCTATTTCTATAAATTTGACTAGACTAACTACTTCTTATGAATGGAATCATATAGTTTGTGTTGTTTTGTGTTTATTTCTGGGGTCTCTTTTATTTTGTAGGTCTCTGTTTCTTCCTTTATAAAACAGTATCAAACTGTTGTGTAGATTTGTAGTAAAATTTGAAATCAGGACTTGTGGATTCTCCAAATTTGTTATTTATTTATTTGAGAGTTGACATATAAGATTATTATTTTAGGTGTACGTGGGGGCTTCCCGCCCCTCCAAGTTTCTTTTGGCTATTTGGGATTTGTACTTTAGAGTGTTTTTTCTACTTCTTTAAAAAGCACCACTGAGGGCCCTCCCTGGTGGCGCAAGAGTTAAAGCACAGCACTAAGAAGCTTAAGCCAATTCCTATAAGTTCTACCCCGCCTACCCCAGAGGAGATCCACGTGGCGTGGCAGAACTCTCCTGACCTGCCCGCTGCTCCCCTCAGCAGTGTGCTTCGTCGATCTGCCTGTTCTGCTCCCCACTCTGCTCCTGGTGAATCTTCTCACCCTCCACATCTCTGGCCTATACCCCAGTTCTGTATGAATAAATAAATAAATCTTAAAAAAAAAAAAGCACCACTGAGATTTTGTAAGAATTGCATTGATTTTTCTACATTGCTTTGAGTAGTATTAACATCCTAACACTATTAAATCTTCCAACTCACAAACATAGGAAGTTTTTTCCCTTTGTTTAGTACTTTGGTTTTTGTTTTTTTTTCACCAGTGTTTTGTAGTTTTACATATATAAATTTTTCAACTACTGGATTAAGTTTATTCCTAGGCATTTTACTCTGATGCTATAGCAAATGTATTGTTTATTTTCTCTTGGGATTCTTGGTTGCCACTGTCCATAAATGGAGGTGTTTTTTTGAGTTGATATGATAGCCTGCAAATAAGTAATTTCACTTGTTTTTTAATTTGCATACTTTTCCTCCTTTTTCTTGCTAATTTCTCGGGCTAGAATTTCTGGTATTATGTTGAAGAGAAGTGGTGAAAGTGTACATTCTTTTCTTTTTTTCTGATCTTAAGGAAAATGTTTTCATTCTTTCATCATTAATATGGTGTTTGCGGTGGATATTTTATTTTAGATGTGTCCCTTGTTTTTCTATTTTAGTTCTTTTATCATGAAGAGATAACTGAACTTTGTTACTTATCTTTTCTGAATCAGTTGAAATGATCATGTATTTTTTTGCCCATTCATTTTTTCAATGTAATGTGTTACAGTGGATCATTTTTGTATATTACATTCCAGAACTAAAGCTTAATTGGTCATGCTATTTAACCTTTTCAGTATGTGCTTTAGTTGGGTTTGCTAGTTTTTGGTTGAGGATTTCTTTAGCACAGTTTTGTAGCTTGTATATATATTGATTCTCTTGTTGCATCTGAGGCCAACTTGAACAAACTCACTTCTGCAATATCTTGAAGTTAGTAAAAGCTATAGCTGAGAATCAAATTCAGGGTCTTCACACTCCTTATAATTTGTGATTATTACAACTTAATAAAGGGTTTATAAATTCTGAAATTGAATGTGTGGGGCCATTGCTATACCAATGTACCTTTATTTAGTCCTGTGCATTAATGTACTACTATGGCTTTTTCTGAGCTTTGCTTTTACTTTGGGAGATACACTGTTTTCTCCAAGGCATTAAAGTAGTCATATTTATCTTGGAATGCAGAAGTATTAAAAGAAGAGAAAGATACTAGCTTGGGATAAGTGGGAAAGTTTAGTGGATATAATCAATGTACATTATTACTATGGGACAAGACATGGAGGGAAGGACTGTATCAACAAGTATGATTGTGTGGTAGATAGTACATGAAATAGCTTAATAATAGGAGAACATATCATATTGAAAGAATATGGGCCCTCCCTGGTGGTGCAGTAGGTTGGAGCAAGCACTAAGAAGCTAAAGCCATTTCAGCTTACATTCATTCCCTTCCCAGAAGGTGACCCACATGGTGCAGCAGACCTCTCCTGACCCGCCTGCTACTCCCCTCAGCAGTGTACTTTGTCAATCTGCCTGTCCTGTTCCCCACTCTGTCTCTGGTGAATCCTCTCACCGCCCCTGCACCTCTGGCCTGTTCTGTATGCATAAATAAATATATCTTTTTTAAAAAAAAATGAACTGCTCATTCCCTATCATGGTCCCAAATTTTATAAAATTTATAGGCCAGCAGGACAGAGTAGTATGAAGACCAACAAATAAGTCAACTTATTACTGTGGTTTAAGTACAAAGAAGAGGTAGCTAAGGTTACTGTAGTGGAGCATAGCAGTGGTATCTAAAATAGTCTATACAGAGTAAGGGAAACTTTTTGGAGGAAGTGACATATAAACTAAAATCTAAAGGAAAACCATGAATAGTCCAGTTGATGAGAGCTGTTGAATAATATATCCTAGACAGAGAGAACCACCATATTAAAGGCATGTTAACTTTACAGGCTAACCTAGGGTGACTCAAGTTATAGAGGGCAGCTATGGTTTTATCAGGGCATTATTTTAGGAGAAGAAAACTGACCCACTTGTTTTTGCTGAGGGACCAAAGATACAAAGTTCCAGGTTATTAAGAATGGAGGAAGGGTGGGGGGTGTAGGGAGAGAAAGAAAGAAAAAAGAATGGAGGAATTCTCTCCCTCTATATTCTTTTTCTTTGCTATGAATTACCTTTTTTTCTATATCTTTAAATTTATTGACCTTTAATGTTTTCTTGGGAATTTCATCTGAGTTAACTGTTTGACTGGGTAAAAGCTCATGTTCTTTTATTCAAGTAGAAAGAGATAACAGAAATGACATAGGGGGTTTATTTGGTATAGGGTTGTATGTTTTTAGATGTGAACCTACTTGCCAGATAAAACTTTAAGCAGTTATAGAGCCATTGTTTTTGAAAAGGTATTCATAATGCTTTAATCTCTTTTGTATATAATTGTTACCCAGTAGTAACTATAAAATAAGTTAATAAAATTTGAGTTTATTATTAGTAGTCATTATCTTATAAATGTTTTTACAATTATGAGAAGACCAAGTTATATATATGTTAAAATAACTGAACTATAGAATCCTTTTAAGACATGAAAAATATTTTGCTGTATTGTTTATTGATGTTTTAAGTCTAATTTATATGTTTATAATATATATACTTAAAATCTAGTTTGCTTTTCTAAAAAGGAAAGAAGTAGTACCTTAAACATACTTGGAAATTTTATGGTTGGTTGGTTAGAAGTAAATCATCACAGGTTTATTTTAGGGGAGGAGTGGAGGACAGTATCATTATTATTTTTGTGAACATTATGCATCTTTCCTGTGAGATTCAGATAGATCTAGGACCTCTCTTTTTTTCTTCTCTATGATAGAATAGCTTCTTAACTATTTTGGGATGAGTTATGACCCTGTGAAAGTTTGTCCCTGACACAAAGATAATGAGAGAAAGTAGATTACCTACTACTTCTATAAATATCTATAATTAATGCAGACACCAGAGAGTCAAACTCATTAAAGTTGGTATGTAAGTATTTTATATGTACAAATTAAAGTAATGGTATTAATACAATCAAAATCTAATTTCTTTGGTACTTTAGCGCTGGCTGACAGAGCAGAGAGCTCAATGTCCTCATTGCCGGTAAGTGTCTTGTTAACATTTTTTTTGTGAATTTGGTCACATAGTGTACTCTATTACTCATAACATTCATTCTACTGCAGTCTGCCCCATTTTTTTGTGAATTCAATAGAAATGCAGATGAATATTGAACTGTATATTGACTCAGAATTATGAATATTGAAATGTATAGTGACTCAGCATTATGTAGACTATTTCATTGTTAGCCTTCTTTAGAAAATCATGTATAATTTAACTTTTTATAATAAAAAAGTTTCTAATTTAAAAACTGATAGTATAGAGAAATACAAAATAAAAAAACTTCTGATTTTGATAATCCCCACCCAATATTTTCATGAAATAATATTTTCAGAAGAAATGGTTGGGTTCATTATCTGTTCTTCCAGACTTTTTGCTGTGTATATACTTATGAACACATGCAAATTTTTTCTTTTAAAACACACAAGTGACACACTGTTTCGTTGGTTGTTTTTTAAACATTAAACTCTAAAAAAGATACATGAATATAATCTGCTTTATGACTTTTCCTTGATTTATTTATGTCTATACTAAAATACATTTAGGTTTTTCCATTTTTGGTTATTTCAATTAATGATGCCAGAATGCATTGAAGGAAAGCTTTTTGCCATTTTGTTTCTAATGATATATAGGAAAGTACATTTTTTAACATTGCTGCCAGCAGTAGGTATTATCAATGTGTATTTTTTGTCATTCTGTTAAGTGAAAGGTAGTATCTTTTTGTTTTTTAAAGGTTTATTTATTTATTTGTGCATACAGAACTGGGGTACAGGCCAGAGGCTCAGGGGCGGTGAGAGGCTTCACCAGAGACAGAGTGGGGAGCAGAACAGGCAGATTGAGGAAGTACACTGCTGAGGGGAGCAGTGGGCGGGTCAGGAGAGGTCTGGCTCGCCATGTGGTCTTCTCCTGGGCAGGAGGCAGGCGGGAATCGAACTCATGCTCATGCGGAAGTGGCTTCAGATTCTCAGTCCTGTGCTTTAACCCGCTGCGCCACCAGGGAGGGTCAGTAGTAGTATCTTGTTTTTAAGATACATAAAGAAAAACATTGAAACTGATCATCTTTTGAAACATTTTAAGCTATTTATATTTCCTTTAAAACTTTTTGCATGTCTTTTGTACTTTTTCATTTTGCTCACTTTTTTTTAATTTGTAAGGAGACCAATACTTTCACATAAAAGTTAAGGTAATGATAGAAATTTTCTATATAACATATCTATAGCCAGGGGCCTCCCTGGTGGTGCAAGGGGTTACATCTTAGCATTCTCAAGCTGTTGGGAAAAACTGAAGCATGAGTTTGATCCCTGGCCAGGGAGCTGACCCACAAGGCACAGCAGACCTCTGTTGTCTCACCGGCTCCTTCCATCAACAGTGTATTTCAGTAGTTATGTCTGATCTACTTCCCACTCTGTTTCTGGTGAATCTTCTCAACACACCCCCCCACCCTCTGGCCTATACCCCAGCTCTTATATGCATAAATAAATAAATCTTTAAAAAAAAACAAACATACCTATAGCCACTATCTGTGTGTGTCAGTTAAATACTTGAAATATGTCTGGTGTGACTGTGCAGTGTTTTATTGATTTGAATTTTGGTTTAGCCACATGGCTAGTAGCTATCATTTTGGACAGTAGTTTTATACTAAGGAGTTGCTAATTAAATCTGTACTGTGAGTCATCACTTTTTTTTTAAAGATTTATTTATTTGTACATACAGAACTGGGGTACAGGCCAGAGACTCAGGGGCAGTGAGAGACTTCACCAGAGACAGAGTGGGGAGCAGAACAGGCAGATCGAGGAAGCACACTGCTGAGGGGAGCAGCGGGCGGGCCAGGAGAGGTCTGCCACGCCATGTGGTCTCCTCCGGGGCAGGCGGGAATCGAACCCATGCGGAAGTGGCCCTAGCTTCTCAGTGCAGTGCCCCAACCCGCTGCGCCACCAGGGAGGGCCCGAGTCATCACTTTTTTTTATAACTGATATATTAATAAAAAACAAGCTAGAGAACATTTTTTCTTTTTTTTTTTTTTAAAGGTGAACAGCATAGTGATTTGACTTACATATATTGTATAATGATTATCTCACTAAGTTAGTATCCACCACCTCATATAGATACTGAGTTTTTTTCCCTTGTTTTTAGAACTCAGGATCTGGTCCTTTCATAACTCTTCCCATGTACCATGTAGTGCTATTAATAATAGCTGTCATGTCGTACATTATATCCTTAGTACTTACTTTGAACCTTTTGACCACCTTCATCTCTACCCCTACCTTTGGTTATTACAAATCTGATCGCTTTCTCTGTTTAAAAAAAATTCAAAAAAGTCTTTTTTTTAGATTCACAGGTAACTGAGCTCATACAGTGTGTTTGTTTTTCTCTTTCCGACTTATTGTACTTAGCATATGCATCCATATTGTTTCAGTAACATTTCTTTTTTATGCCTGAATATTCCTTTTATCTATTCCTTATCCATTTATCTGTTGATGGATAGATACTTAGGTTGTTTCCATGTTGGCTATTATGAATAATGCTGCTATTGGCATGGGGGTGCAGGTATCTCAATATAGTTTTTATTTCCTTTTGAATATATTCACAGAAGTGGAATTGCTGTATTTGTTGATATTTTATGCTGTCAATATAATTGTGATCTCTGTTTTGAGGAATGTGTACTTTTTTTTTTTTATTGGCAACTTATCATCCCCACCCCAATGTTTGAAATGTAAATGACAGTTACAGTTATAGAGTACCTAAAATATTTGATATACATTGAGAAAGGATTCCCCCCAACAGAATGACTAATATATTCATTACCTTACCTCTTTGCCTTTGGAATGTGTTTATTTTAGAAAATAACCTCAAATTCCAGAATCACAATGTGTGTATTATTTTCTCCCTAGTGCTCCACTTCAGTTACGAGAACTAGTAAACTGTCGTTGGGCAGAAGAAGTAACACAGCAGCTTGATACTCTTCAACTCTGCAGTCTCACCAAACATGAAGAAAATGAAAAGGACAAGTATGTTCCCAGTTTCTTTGTTCAATTATTCATAAAATGTTTAAAGTTTTATTAAATGAACTTCCAAATAGTAACTAACAGGCTGTGTCTTAATAATTACCTTATTTGATACAAGATTACTAATGAATGAGAAATAAAAAATGTACATCTACTTATATGTTTTCTTAGCTCAGTATTTCATCAATGCAAAACTTTTATGAAAATACACCCTTACTTTAAAGGTAAGGAAAAACTTTAAAAACATTTTTTAAATTGCGTTAAAATATAAATACCATAAATTTTACTACCTCAACAACTTTAAAACTGTATAGTTCAGTAGTGCTAAGTATATTCTTATTGTTGTAATCCCATTCTCCACAACTTTTTCTTGCAAATCGGAAGCCCTTTAACCTATTAAATAGTGACTCCCATTTTTTCTCCCACCAGCTTTTGATGACTGCCATTTTTCCTTCTATGAGTTTAACTACTCTACATATTTATATAAGTGTAGTCATAAAGTATTTTGACTTTTCATGATTGTCATTTTTCCTTGCATAATGTCTTCAAAGCTTATCTCTGTGTTAGCAAGTATGAGAATGTCCTTTTGTCATATGTCCATATTATAATGTGTTTATCAGTGATAAACATTTGGGTTTACTTCCACTTTTTGGTTTTTATGCATAGTGCTATGAACTTGTGTTCATTTCTTCTAGACTTTATTTTCTAATTTTTTAAAAATATATACCAAGAAATTGATTGTATGGTAATTCTTTTTTAATATTTTGTGGAATTGCCCATACTGTTACCATAGCAATTGTATCATTTTTATAGTCCTACCAATAGTGTTCTAGGGCCCTAGTTTCTCATTACTCTTGCCAACACTTGTTTTCTGTTGTTTGATGATATTCATTCTAATGGCTATAAGATGATAATGCATGGTTTTAATTTGCTTTTTCCTAATAATTAGGATGATGGATATCTTTTCACATATATATACTTTTTGGGCATTTATATATCTTGAAGAAATGTCTGTTCAAAACCTTTGCCCATTTTGATCGTGTTTTATTTTGGTCAAGCTATAGGAATTCTTTATATATTCTGGATATTAACTCCTTATCAGATATATGATTTGCAAATATTTTCTTTCATTACATAGATTGCCAGTTTGCACTCTTTATTCTGTCTTTTGATACATGCATAAAACTCTTTTAACTTGGATATAGCCTATTTTACTTTCACTCTTGTAGCCTATGCTTTTAATGTTATATCCAAGAAATCATTGCCAAATCCAGTATTAGGAAGCTTTCCCCTGTTTTTCTTTTTTTCTAAAGGTTTTATAGTTTTAAGTATTATATTAGGTCTTTAATCCATTTTCAGTTAATTTTTATATATAATGCAACTTAAAGGCATTTGTTTGCAAGGGCTGCTATAAGAGAATACCACATAAATAATAGAAGTTTGGGGGCTGGAAGTCCAAGGTTAAAGTGTTATCAGGGTGCTTTCTAATGTGGCCTCTCTCCTTGATTTGGGTACAGTGCCTTCTTACTGTGTCTTCACATGGCCTTTTCTCTATGTGCACACTTTGGTGTCCCTTCTTAGAAGAACACCAGTCTTATTAGGTTAAGATTCCATCCTTATGATTTTATTTAACCTTTGTTGTTTCCGTTTAAGTTCTGTATACAAATACAGTTACATTTGGACTTCAATATATGAATGGGTGGTATGGGGCTCCTCACAATTCAACTCATAGCCACTTCATTCTTTTGCATCTGGGTATCCACTTTGAGGAAAACCTTTTAAAAATTGAGTTATTGTTTCTCTTGAGGATCTGGTACTACATTGTGCATTTAGTCACTTGGCTACTTTTAACAAAAGTGTGCATGCATATGTGTTTATCTAAGGTAGGACAGGCCATTTAATTTCCCCAGATGTACTAGTAGGTTAGTTTATAATCAATAGTGATACTAGGAATTTTTTACTTGTGCTTTATTTAGAAGCTAGTCTGCATTTTATGTTATTATAAAAACCTTATAGAGTAAGGAAAACTACTTTAAGAAATTTTTGTCTGTGTACAATTCTTAGATTTAATTCACAGAAGCTGAGAAATATATTTTATATTGTTTCCTGAGATAAGTAATTTAAATTGGCTTACCAGCTCAAACTTGGGAATTTGTTGAGGTAATTAGTTCCATTATTATTATTTTTTTTAATTTATAAATATTTTCTTTTGCAATGTCAGATGTGAAAATCACCATGAAAAACTTAGTGTATTTTGCTGGACTTGTAAGAAGTGTATCTGCCATCAGTGTGCACTTTGGGGAGGAATGGTGAGCTAAACAAATTCAACATTTTTTAGATACTACAACATATTGAAATGCTTGTTTGATTTAGATAGAAAATGTTTTACCCTTCATAGAATGGCAATTAAATATAACAGCTTTATGCATAAGGTGTCATACCTTTCATTATTTTAAAAGAACTTTTTAAAGAGGTTCTCATGTGTGATGTATAACCATTTCACAAATATTTTAATTAAAAACCTGTAACATGTATATTCATTTGCAAATGTTTTGTTGTAAGATCAGTTTTTTCTTTAATTAAAGATCAGTTGATCTGATATTCTAGCCATGATTTCCAGTTTTCATTTCTTTATAGTAAAGTAATAGATACTTAAGAAAAATATGAATGCAAGTTATCTAGCTCTTATTGTATTTTTTTATTTTTATTTTTCCAAGCTAATTCAGAAGTACTTTTTAAAGAGTAACCTACCTTTATCAACTCTAATGCATTCAAGTTAGTTTTCCTAGAAAGAGTTTTCTGGAAATGGTCATATTCTAGTGCTTACTTAATACTAAATTATATACTTACACTCATAAGTACAATCAGCATAGATAGGTTTGAGACAAAACATAGTAGACTCTGGGTGAATAAGATAAGTTAGTGGGAGCAGATAAATTGTTTTAATAGAGTTCAATTTAGTGAGCTTTCTCTTAGAATTTTAATATTAATGTGCTTAGTTGAAAAATTTAGATTACTGCAACGTAGTAGCTAAACAGGTTTTGTAAGAAGTAATAGAAACTCCCTACCTATTCCATATTTGAAAATTTCACATTCTTCTTTTATCAGAGATTATGATTGGGAGCTTTGGTTGGACAATGAGATTCTAATAAGAGCTTATCTATTCTAGAAATTTTTTTTGTAATACAAATTTTAGCTCTGGTTACCAATCAAGAGAGTTACAGTTGCTAATACTAAAATTGGATCGAAATTTGGTTTAGGTTGTTAATGCCAAAAAACTGTCGTTTGAGTGTAACTGAATCTGAAAGACTAATTTCTGTGGGTCTTTTACCATCACAGTTAGTTTTTGTGGCATGAGAAATGCTCTCATGATTTTGCTAATAGAATACCATAGACCTTTCCCTCAGTTGTCTTTCTGTGTTGGGGATTGGGGTTAGGTAATGATGAGTTAATTTTATATTAATCGGCTTTAGGATTAAGTATACAGTGCTAATAAGAATGCTAACTACTGAACCTAACCCTGTAAGCTAAGCCAACGGAATAATAAGCATTAGAAAGTTGAAGAAGTATTTTTGAATAAGGCATTTCTTTTGCAAAGACCTTGAGGGAAGAAGTTTGTGCTGATCAAGAGAAGAGAGTGGCAAATAAGTTTGTGTTACATGGTTTGAGCCTTGCTTAAGGAGTTAGAATTGTTTTCTAATAAGTCAAAGTAAATATAAACTAAAGTAATTTTATCTGCAATCTTGAAGGACTTCCCTTCCAAATGTTGTTAAACAAGCTTGGGCCTGCTTTAACAAAATAAAGGCAACCAAAAAAAAAATTCAGTGGGAGTACTTACCAGTTTATTAGTGTTAACAAAGGAATATACATACAAGTAACATATATGAAAATGTTTTAAAACTATTCTTATTACTATAAATAGCATGGTGGACATACCTTTAAACCTTTGGCAGAAATTTATGAACAGCATGTTACTAAAGTGAATGAAGAAGTAGCCAAACTACGTCGACGTCTCATGGAACTGATCAGCTTAGTTCAAGAAGTGGTAAGACTACTACTGAAAAATCATTATCCCTTTTTTTTCCTGTAATATGTATGTTTAATATAAATTAGTCAGATGTTGAAATCAAAATTTAAAATTTTAAGTAGATTTATTAATAGTCAGTTTCAGCAACTTCCAGCTATTTCCATCCCAAACCCTTGGGTTTTAGGAAAGTAGTTACAGCCAGAGATTGGCTCTTCCGCAGAATCAGAGAATCAATAAATTAAAATACGCTACTTGTTACATAGTAATTGACTAGGAGAGTCCATATTGACTTTCAAAGTCATTTAAAGTTAATTATTCATTCTTTAGGTTCCCAGCTTTTGGTAGTTTCTGCTACCAGCTCAGTGAATTTAGAGCTCAACAAAATTTATCTAGTAACATTGAAAACTATTCATCAGCTACTGTATGGGTCAAGCAGCTCTGTGAGTTATTTACCATTTGTAGAATTTGTATGGGAAAATGAGTAAACTTCAGACCATTTAATATATTTTGGAATTTATTTTGTTTGAAGTTGCGGAATAATAGATGTTAGAAGTTTGTGGCTTGTTCTTAATATAAGAACAGTTGTCTTTATTGTAACGTTTTAGGCATCAAGATCCAAACCATATTTTATAACATTTTTATACAGGAAGTTGCTTTTGTATGCTACTACAATCATTTTGGAATATAAGCAAGCTTGGTGGCTTCGTTTGGCCTTTATCTAGTCACTTTTTCCTCCTTTTTCTTATAATTTGATCATTAGCGGAGATTATCCTAGGTTAAGATTCTCATTGCTTATATGTATGTATATGTGTATTTGGAAGACTACTGCATTATTAATTTTGCCAAGACACATTATGATTTGAAATTTCAAAGCATTATTATGGAAAGGTATCATAAAGGTCAGATAGAATATTGTTATATTTTTAGTTTTCAGAATATTGAATATCAGTCACTATTAAACAAAAAATTGTTAAGTACCTACACAAGGCATTTCACTAAATTATAGTGAAACCAAAATGGAAAAAATATATTACTACCCATCAGCAAGTCTTTACTTAGCAGAAAGTTATTCATGTAAACAAAAATTATGTGACAGATGCAGTATATTAGTTTGTATTACTATATAACATTGCCACAAATATGACATAAATGTTAAGCAAGCTTAGGCATGCAAGATAAAAGCTTGCATTTTTCTAATAGTTTCTGTAGGTCACTGCATATATTCATAAAAATGTTAAGTATAGAAAGATTGCTCTTTAATTTTGTTTATATGCCATTGCAAGATCTATATGTACATTGCAATTTGTTTTATTAAAGATTTGTTTATTTATGCATACAAGAACTTAGTATACTTCTTTGGTTTTCAGCTCTTGGCGGGGGAGTGAGAGGATTAATCAGAAACAGAGTGGGGAGCAGAACAGAAAGATTAACTGACATCCAAGGCTGAGGGAAGCAGTGAGCAAGACCAGAGAGATCTGCTATGCTATGTGGGTTATGTCACTTGGAGGCAGAGATCAAACTCTTGCTTCAGTGACTTGCGGATAGGAGACTTAACCTTTGCACCACCAGGGAGGCCCTATATTGCAATTTTTGAAGAAGTTATAAAATATCAAAACTTTATGAACAAGATACATAGTGTTTTAAAATTTCTTTGTAATAAGGTTTTGAGATAAGTAAACTGGCTTTAACATACTTCTTTGGTTTTGAATAATGATTTCCTATCAGATGTAATTGGAGCTTTAAGTAAGTGTTTTCTAAACTACTTTCTGTAATTAATATGTCTGTTTAATGTTTTAAATAGCATATCTTTTTCTATGCTTTTTTATCTTTTAAGATTTTTCCTGATTTATTTCAGTGTACAATTTTTCAGATCAGTTTACCAAAAATATGTGAAAAGTTAAAAAGTATTACTGGCTTACTGTTTCTAAAGTTCTTCAATTAAATTTTTTTAACCTGTTTTTGTTCTAGGAAAGAAATGTAGAAGCTGTAAGAAATGCAAAAGATGAACGTGTTCGGGAAATTAGGAATGCTGTAGAGATGATGATTGCACGGTTAGATACACAACTAAAGAATAAGCTTATAACACTGATGGGTCAGTATTTGTCTTATGCTGTGGGGGTACTGGTGCTTTAAGGCTCCTGAGGTTATTGTTTGAAGAGTGAAGGATGAGGAATTGTTACAGGCTAAGAAGAAATCTTGAAATTTTAAACAACTCTGTTTTTAAATAATCTGGAGAGATGTCTGACTTGTATTTAGAAATGATTAGAGTGTTTCATAGCCATTAGGGCAAGTTACTTAATGACCAAGGGATTTCATTTGTTATGTAGCTTTTTTCCCCATTTCTACTCAGAGTTCCTACAGCCTGTTTCTTTTCAGTTCTCCTTCAGTAAAGACAAAGAATAGGATTTGTAAATACGATGTTTTCCCTACTTTTTCTTAATGATTTAAGGTCTTTTTTTTTTTCCTTCTAAAGTTCTGGTAGCTTTCATTTCAAATCTCTTAATTTCATTTTTGTTGTATACCTTTTAGTTTCTTTAAAAATTCCTCATTCAATTTTGATAGTACAGTAATACTAAGCATAAAATATGGGCCAGCACTAAAAGCTTGATACTAACCTGTTTATTTGGTGATCTTTGAGTTTAACTTAAACTTTTAGTACATTTAGTATTTGCTGAATCAGAACTAACTTTGCAGCTTTCATCATAGTCCAGTATGAAATGCATATTGTTTTAATACAATGTGAATTTTCTGCTTTCTTTCTTGATTATCTTAAGTCATTCAAAATACTATTTTATTCATCTTACATCTAGTTTCTTTATAAGATGCAAAATATGGCACTCCCTGGGGGCACAGTGTGTTAAGAGCACAGCACTGTAAGCTAGCTGCGGCTGCTTCAGTGCAAGTTCAATCCCCAGCCCCAGAGGTGATCCACATGGCGCGGCAGACCTCTCCTGTCCTGCCTGCTGCTCCCCTTAGCAGTATACTTTGTTGATCTGCCTGTTTTGCTTCCCAGTCTATCTCTGGTGAATCCTCTCACTATCCCTGCACTTCTGACCTGTACCCCAGTTCTGTATGCATAAATAAAATGCATCTTTGAAAAAAAAAAAAAGATGCAATTATTCTCGTATTATTACACTAAATACATTTTTTTATTCTATAAACTTATTCTATATAGACTTTAGTTATTGTTCATAGACTTAGCAACAAAATGGCCTTAAAGCATTATCCTTTTAGGTTGACTATGCAATTCATCCACACAGTGGAGCAATTAAAAGATATCTGTAGGCATTGATTATGCTAGTCATAATCAAAGCCATGTACATAAAGATTTCATGTAAGTGAAAATCTTAATTTTCTTTAGGGCCTCAATTATTGTTAGTCATACCTGTAGATGGTCTCAATTTCTCAGGACTAATGATATTTGAGATTCCCTTAAGTTCATTAAGCCATATAGGTCACTGGAATGTTGGTGAGGTCTAGGACTTTTTAAAGTTGAGGGCTTCCTCAACATTGTTGTCTTAAATGATAAAAAGATGGGTGACCTTCTTCTCCTTGGGTGAATTTGCCTAATTGCTTTGTTTATATTTTCATATTTAACTAGATCAACTTAAAGCCAAATAAGTATAGCTCTTTATTTTACTAACTTGTTAAAGATATAATTACACTTTTGTAACTTAAGTCTCGATTAGGTGATTTCCAAATTATATTGCATTCTGTAAAGTTATGTAATTCTTTAATTTCATAATTAAATAGTATGATTTCAGGATTAAGGTATCTCTAGCATAGGCTCTCTAGGTGTACTTGGTATATGGTTTTTGGACTTTTATTCAAAATTTCTATAATTTCTACCACTTATTTTCAAGTTGTATAATGGCAGTCTCTTTCACTAGAGTTGTGGAATATGGTAATAGCATAAATTATCTTTATCTTTTTTTTTTGTTAGATTGTAGATAATAATTTATTTTGATTCCCATGTTTCTTTTAGAATCAAGACATTCTGTTTTGGGTTTTAAAAAATAATTTCACTTATTAAATATCCCTTTTTTATTTTTTATTTATTTTTTTTTATTACAAAGTTTATTTTTACATCATTTTGCACATTTTTTTTCCATCTCGATTGTAATCCCCTTAAATATCCCTTTATTAAGAAACATTACTCCAAATTGATATCACTTCTGGTAACTTCGTATCATATGCTTCAATTCTTTAGACTTTGTGATATCCAAAGATAATAGTCTCATCTGAAAAGATGTCTTTGTGGCACCTTAAAAAAAAAAAAAAAAAAAACAGGGCTCTCCAGAAAGAAAAAGAAAAATACCGGATGGTTTCACTCATAGCAGGAGCATAAAGGACCAGGGGAGAAAAATAATAATAATGAACATTATATACTACAGACATTTTACGGGGGTGGAGTAGGGAATGGGATCAAAAATGGGGGGAGAGGCCCTCCCTGGTGGCGCAGTGGGTTAAAGCACAGCACTGAGAATCTAAAGCCGCTTCCGCATGAGTTCGATTCCGCCTGCCCCGGAGGCAACCACATGGTGTGGCAGACCTCTCCTGACCCACCCGCTGCTCCCCTCAGCAGTGTACTTCGTAGATCTGCCTGTTCTGCTCCCCACTCTGTCTCTGGTGAATCCTCTCACCCTCCACATCTCTGGCCTGTACCCCAGTTCTGTATGAATAAATAAATAAATCTTTAAAAAAAAAAAAATGGGGGGAGAGGGGAGGTGCACGGGACTATGGTGATGGCACACAGGTGATTTGGTGATGAGAAGCCCAAAGGGGTTACAACTGAGATGGAAAAAGGCACAAAATGATGTGAAAATAAACTATAATAATAATAATTTAAACAGGGCTCTCCTTGGTGGTGCACTGGGTTAAAGTGTAGCACTATAAAGCATTCAGCAGCCACTGCAGCACGAGTTAGATCTCTGGCCAGGGAGATGACCCACATGGCAAGGCAGACCTCTCCTGTCTTGCCCACGGCTCCCCTCAGCAGTGTATTTCATTGAATCTGTCTATTCTGCTCCCCACTCTGTCTCTGGTCAATCTTCTCACCCCCTGCATCTCTGGCCTGTACCCCAATTCTTGTTTGCATAAACAAATCTTAAAAAAAAAAGAAATACCTTGTTATTAAGCAGTTTTTTCCTTAACTTTATCTTAATTTTTTTTAAAGATTTATTTATTTATACATAAAAGAACTGGGGTATAGGTCAGAGGTGCAGGGGATGAGAGGCTTCACAGAGACAGAATGGGGAGCATAACGGATCTACTGAAATACACGCTGAGGGGAGCAGGAGAAACAGGAGAGAAGTCTGCTGTGCCATATGTGAATTAGCTCCCTGACTGGGGATTGAACTCAGGCCATAGCAGTGATAGTATGATAGTGCTGAGACTTAATCCCTGTGCCACTAGGGGGGGCCCCAAGTAATTTCTTTGATTCTTTGTGAATTTCCAGCTTCTTGAGACCTGGCCCACTTACTACATTCCTCTTTTTATGCCACAGTTATTTTAGAACAATTGAGTGGGAAAATTACCTTTCTAGATCTTGTATTCCTTTTGGAAAAATCATTAACAATTTTCATTACAACATATAATGTCATTATACATTTCTTAAATAATTTAACAGACCTAAATTGCATTTTGTCTGAAACTTGATAGCGTTGAGATAGTTTTGTCAGAGCTATCACTATCAGATGAAACCTCTTACTGCTCTTAGTTTTATGGGGGTCGTAGGTGTAATGATGTACTTGTTTACTTAACATTGATTACTTTTTATTGAATATGTTTGGTGAAGATTAATTTCATTCTTAAATAAATAGCTCATTTTTGGTAGTTTGCTTTTTTAAATAGGTCAGAAGACCTCTCTTACACAAGAAACAGAGCTGTTGGAATCCTTACTTCAGGAGGTGGAGCACCAGGTGATGAAATATTAAATGTAATGAAATAAAGATTCATCTTTGTCCACATGCTTTAAAAAAGTCTTGTTCTTGTTTGACAGACTGTCTATGTGATATCAAAAGATATGGAAATCTGCATTCTATGCAGGGATTTTTTTTACAGTAATTATTGACTAAAGCTTCACAAGTTTTCTTCTAGGGTAGGAACTACATAGAAATGGGTGAAATTTGTTTTGTAGGAATAGGATCGTTTTTACTGGGATAAGATAGCCCATAGGAATCTGTAATCCATAAAGAATTATACTCCTGTAACACTGTGATTTAGACCTGGCTTTGAAGTTAGAATATAATTATTGCTAATTCTTATATGTAGTGATTCTCATTCTAGAATTTATTATTTTCATTTGTTGAGGAAATTTTTATTAAGTACTGAATGGATAGTAGGCATTGTATTCAATGTTTGGAACACAAAAAGTCTGTTTTCATAGATTTTTTTTAGATTGTAGGTGATTGTGGATGCAATTATATTAAACAAGTATAGTATCACATAAATATTTGATAAATATCTGTCTTGAATTTGATTTTTGGAATTCTTGAATTCCTCTCCATGTCTATTATACAGCTATATCTTGAGATTGTTCGCTTAATATGCTGGAGATAACCTTCACTTTGTTTTTCAATTGAAGCCCATGTTTCCCGATTCTTGTGATTTCAGCTCTTAGTTTACTTGCTAAAACGTACATCATACACCTGTACATCATCATGGTCATCATAGCAACCATATCCATTACCCTCCAGATTTCTTGTGTCTGTCTGTAAACTCCTTTTGCTTTTTTTGACACCTCCCTCTCCAGGTGTTATTCTGGCTTATTAACAGAGAAGTTTGCTATTGGTTTTTTTATTTTTAAGATTTATTTATTTATGCATACTAAAGTGGAGTATAGGCCAGAGGTATAGAGGCGATGAGAGGATTCACCAGAGACAGAGTAGGGAGCAGAATAATCAGATTGACAAGATTGCTGAGGGGAGCAGCGGGCGAGACAGGAGAGGTCTGCTGCACCATGTGGGTCACCTCCCTGGTGGGGATCGAACTCATGCTGAAGCTGCTGTGGCTCATTTCATAGTGCTGCACTTTTACTGAGAGTTGGGATACAGCATACCTTTTATCCTCTGCACAGTTTGTTTCCCAAATTTATGTAGGTTAATACTTTGTGGTATGTGTTACTTTTTGACATTTCTCTGTTCCCTGGAATGGAATGCAGTTGGTTTATTAGTAGGTATACTGTACCAATCTGAAATATATTTGTTGTTTTTAAATCTGGATTTCTCTTAATATTATAATGAGAGAAAATTCATTAAAATAAAATACACTTTAAATATACACTAAGTGGTCCTTCCTGGTGGTGCAGCAAGTTAAAGCACAGTGCTGTGAAGCTAACCACAGCCACTTCAACACAAGTTCAATCTCCAGCCAGGGAGGTGATCCACATGGCATGGCAGACCTCTCCTGTCTCACCTGCTGCTTCCCTCTGCAGTGTATTTCAGTCATTCTGCCTGTTCTGCTTCCCACTCTGTCTCTGGTGAATCCTCTCATCTCCACTCCTTACCCCCGGACCTCTAGCTTGTACCCCAGTCTGTATGCATAAATAAATAAATCTTTTAAAAAATAAATTAGCAAAAATCATTGTAGATTTCTTAATTTTTAAAACCTATTTTCAGTCATTTTTTAATGTCATTTTTAGGCAAAATAATTTGTTTTCCTTTTTCATTAAGATTTTCAGGTGCCAGTGATTAATAACTTTGCTAATTCATGTAATTTTTTTTCAATACAGTTACGGTCTTGTAGTAAGAGTGAATTGATATCTAAGAGTTCAGAGATTCTTATGATGTTTCAGCAAGTTCATCGAAAACCCATGGCATCCTTTGTTACCACTCCAGTTCCACCAGACTTTACCAGGTATGACAGTCTTTTAAACTTCATTGTCATTTGAAGTTTACATGCAAGTGCATGGTTTTTTAAGGTGTTTGTAGTGGTATCATCTGTTAGTTTGCTTATGTTATATATAAATCTGGTTAAATAGTTATGGTGACTTATATTTTTGACTCTGTAGAGAAGAGGATAGTGACAAAGGAACTAGTGTTTTCCTGAACTGAACTTTAGAACAAATATCTGAGAATGTAGTAAAATGGCTTGCAGCTCATATTTTTCGTGAATTTATGCTTTTTTGTATACTTTTTTTGTTATACTCTTATGTATAAATGTTTTACTGACTTCAGGTGTTTTGATGCATAGATTGTTATGTGATCTAAAGTGTTTAGCATCAAAATGGACATCCCTTACATAACCTATCTCTTGTAGTTCAGTTCATTATGGAGAAATATAGAACTATTATGCGCTTGTCCATCCCAGTTATCCCCCAGTTGAATATATATTTCTGTCCTTTAAGAGTATAGGTTTATTTGCAAATAAATAGTTTCAGACTATTTAAATTCTGTCAGAGTGAAAGGTTTTGTTATGAAGTGAAAAGTTTGGGATTTGTTTTGATGTCTTTTGCTTTTGTATTCTTTTTTTTTCTTTGAAGATTTATTTTTATTCATTTATGCATAGAAGAGCTGGGGTATATGCCAGAGGTCCTGGGTGGTAATAGGATTTACCAGAGACAGAGTAGGGAGCAGAACAGCGGATCTACTGAATTACACTGCTGAGGGGACCAGTGCACAAGACAAGAAAGATCTGCTGTGCCCTATGGGTCAGCAACCTGACCCAGGATTGAATTCATTCCCAGCTGGCCATTGCTTGATAGCACTAAGACTTTAACCCCTGTGCCACCAAGGAGGCCCTCCTTTAGCACTTTTAATTCTCTCTGTATTTATTTTAGTAACCACATAGCACCTTTTTAAAATATTTGTTGAATGTTTAAGTGTAAATTTTTGATGTCAGCTTTTGATAGTTTTATAAATTTGTTTTTAATGTTATGTTTAATAAGGTTTTAAACATACTTCTTAGGTATTTTACATTTCCTGGTTTTACTGAGGGACTTACTTTGTTTTCTAGCTAAATGGAATTTTAAACTTACATCAGCTAAATAATGTTTTTGCATTTTGCTTCTTTTTAGTGAATTAGTACCATCTTATGATTCAGCTACTTTTGTTTTAGAGAATTTCAGGTAAGAATTTTTAACAAGTCTGTTTTTTTTGTATATAGATATATAGATAAAAGTCAGGAAGGTGTGATTCTTGGATAGGATGGAAACCTAATGAACTCTCATTCAATATGTAGTCTTTTTTTTTCTTGTAAAGATTTATTTATTTATGCATAAGAACTGGGGTGTGGGCCAGAGGTGCAGGGGCAGTGAGAGGATTCACCAGAGACAAGAGTGGGGGAGTAGAACAGGTAGATCAACAAAAGTACAATGCTGAGGGGAGCAGCAGGCGAGACAGGAGAAGTCTGCTGTTCATGTAAGTCACCTCCCTGGAAGGGGATTGAACTTGTGCTAAGGCAGCTGTGGCCAGCTTCGTAATTCTGTGCTTTAGCCCTTTGTGCCACCAGGGAGGGCCCTCAATATGTAGTCTTAAAAGACATATTTCTTATTAGAAGAATAGAGGACATTTGTCTGGATTGTACTATATTTTCAAGACATACAGCTGGTTAACTCTGAAATGGAACATTTTTTTTTTACTAGGGTGATTTACTTAGCCTTTGTTAAATTGGGAAAGATGGGATGATAAAAAAGAGTGGTATGAAGTTTGGGTTCTGTTTCAGCTCAGAGTCAGGATTATTGGTGGGAGGCCATTTTTATAAGAAAATTGTAAGCTTTGTAACTTGGATGTTAACTTTGTCACTTTACTATTTTCTCTAAGATTTGAAGCAAAGAACTTAAAACACAGAATTCCTCTAAGGAATTTGTTAAAAAGAAGCATGGAAATGGGGAACTGAGAATGTAATATCGTGCTTGGGAAGTGATAACTATCAAAATGAGGACAAACTGAGAGAACATATATCACCTCCCACTTAATGCTTTTACTATGGGGAGGGGGTTGTTTGTTTTCTGAGGGTTTTCCCACATATTGTAAGGGTTAATATGTCTTTTGTTTTTGCATGTTAAAAAAAAAAGTTACACTTTAGGATGTAAGGAAGAGACATATTCTGATGTTGGTTTTTTTTTTTTTGTTTTTTTTTTAAGATTTGTATTTACTTATGCATACAAGAACTGGGTATAGGACAGAGGTACAGGGAAGTTAGAGGACCCACCTCCCTGTTCCCTGGGGAGCAGAATAGGCAGATCCACTGAAACAAATTGCTGAGGATAAGACAGGAGAGGTCTGCTGTGCCATCTGGGTCACCTCCCTGGCCGGGGATCAAATTCAGGCTGTAGTAGCTGGCCACAGCTGATAGCTTAATGCCTTATGCCACTAGGGAGGCCCCATTCTGGTTTTTTAATGATGACTTACAAAAATGTAAATATAAATTCAGAACATTAAGTTATATTTCCTTTTTACCTTAATGTAACAATTTTAAGGATTTTTTCCATTTTCTTACCTGAAACTTAGTTTAATATAACTGAATATTTCATTGTTGTTTTCTTCAGTTCCACCTTTTTAAGATAGCTGAATATTTTAGTGTTGTTAGATTTTCTTTTATAAATATATTTACATTTATTCAGTGGAATCCTGTTGATTCACCTTCATTTTCTTGTCCAGAACTTCAAATAAGTAGCATAAGTAACATGGCTGCTTTTGGTTTTGTCTGTTGCTTTTTCACAATAATTTTGATCTTGGGATTTTGTTGGTTTTCTTCTATTTTAGCACTTTGCGTCAGAGAGCAGATCCTGTTTACAGTCCACCTCTTCAAATTTCAGGACTTTGTTGGAGGTTAAAAGTTTACCCAGTAAGTTTTTTATATTGTTTGTTTAAAGATTTAAAGATTTTAAAGATTTGTTTATTTATGCATACAGAACTGGGGTACAGGCCAGAGGTTCAGGAATGGTAAGAGGATTCACCAGAGACAGAGTGGGGAGCAGAACAGGCAGATCGATAAAGTATACTGCTAAGGGGAGCAGCAGGTGGGTCAGGAGAGATCTGCCGCGCCATGCGGATCACCTCCAGGGCTGGGGCTGCGGCTTGCTTAGCAGTGCTGTGTCCTAACCCGTTGTGCCACCAAGGAGGGCCAGTTTTTTGTATTTCTAATAATATATTTTGGAACCATGATCTTTCTTTCAGGGTACTGGCTCACTGTTTCAGTGGAGTAAGGAATGAGTGTAATAACAATTTCCATAATTAAATGCTAAATAATTATTAAGTGTATGAAAAGCTTAAAATGGAAAAGGTAGGAATCCTAACACATTATTGAATCTTATTTCTTGTCTGTAGGAAGATATTAATCTGTTTAAAATTAAATTACTTTAAAAGGAACAGTAAGTAGTGTGTTCTTTGTCCTGTGGTGATTAGTTACATCTTTTTGCAATTTTAGCAACAATTGATGCTTTCTCCATTACCTATTAAAGTATTGGGGAGTGTAAAATAGTAATAGTCTCATTTTCTTGTTTTTTTATTTATTAATTATAATAAATTTTTAAAGATTTATTTTATTTATCTGTGCATACAAGAGCTGGAATGTAGGCCACAGGTGTAGGGGGTATGAGAAGATTCACCAGAAACAAAGTGGGGAACAGAATAGCCAGATCTAATGAAATACACTGCTGAGGGGAGCAGCAGGTGAGACAGGAGAGGTTTACTGTGCCATGTGGGTCAGCTCCCTGGCCGGGAATAGAACTCATGCTGCAGTGGCTGCTAATAACTTCATACTGCTATGATTTTAACCTTTTGTGCCACCAAGGAGGGCCCTGTTGATTGATTTTTTAAAATAATATTTGTGATGTATCAATAATTTAAAGCCAATAAAATTAATTGGCAAGTTTTGAGAAATACATACAGTACAATAGTGATTGTCACAATATTAATTTTTATTCCTGCCCCAAATAATCTATTCCCCTTTGTAGCTAATCCCTATTTTCTCTTATGCTGGCCACAACCTCTAGTCTGCTTTTGTCACCATGCTTTTACTTTTTAGAATTTCATGTAATGACATCATACAGTAGATTATCTTTCATATCAAAGTTTTTTCACTGAACTGATAATTCACTTACTCACTGGTATTTATTTATTGTTCACTATGTCAGACCCTTGAGATCTCCCTCAGCACTTTTTGGAGGAAGATAGCTGGAGGGTTTATATCTGCACCCCTCTATAGTAATATACCATTAACAGTCCATCAGTAGGGGGATGCTTGCATTGCAACCTTTATGGTTTGGTTGGGGAAACAAATCATTATGGATGTGGCTGTAACAAATGTAAACCTTTTGAAAATGTACATATGAGCAAAATATTTAAGAAGTACAGAGGAAAGTAAAAATCTCTATGTGAAAACTTGCTGTAATAGAAATTTAATTGCCCATTGTCCAGACAGAATCTTATGTGGAGTGCTAGCATTTAAACATGTAGAAAATATATAAATTTTCCATTGAATGGTGAAACCTCAATTTGTTTTATTAATTTCAGGTCTTAAATACTATCTTATTTTTGTCTTATTCACTAGTAAAGTTGACATTTGTTTGCTGTCTTTCCTTGAGGTTTTTCTTGAAAACAGATATGTAAGAGTTCTATATATGTTAAAATTCTTACTCTTTATAGTTAGTATTTTTCTAAGTTTATGTATCTTAGTATTTTCATGTACAAAGCTTTTAAATTGTTAACTATCAAGTTTCTGTAGTTCTCTCATTGCATTTCAACTTAGAAGTGATTCCCAGTCCAAATATGAGATACTTCATTGTGGTTTGTTTTTTTACATTGAAATTGATTTGCAGTTTTTATTTGTACAACATTTGTGTTGGGTTTTTTTTTTTTTTTTTGTGTACATTGAAATTGATTTGCAGTTTTTATTTGTACAACATTTGTGTTGGGTTTTTTTTTTTTTTTTTAAGGATGGAAATGGAGTTGTTCGTGGTTATTACTTATCTGTGTTTCTGGAACTCTCAGCTGGGTTGCCTGAAACTTCCAAGTAAGTCATTCAATTAAATAACAAACTTTAGTGTATATTTGCATTTATTCCTGTTAGCAGTTTTTATTTGTAACTACTTTTGTAAGTTTCTTTATTGCTATGTTTCAGATGCAGACTAGTTTGGCATCCTTGCATGGTATTATTATATAAACTGGCAGTATGAAGGACCCTTTGTAATCTTAAAATTTATTGAGAGGCCCTGGTGCAGGGCCTCTGGTGCAGCGGGGTTAAAGCACTGCACAAAGAAGCTAAAGACACTTGCGCATGAGTTCGATTCCCGCCTGCCCGGGAGGTGACCACATGGCGTGGCAGACCTCTCCTAACCCACCTGCTGCTCGCCTCAGCAGTGTACTTCGTCGATCTGCCTGTTCTGCTCCCCACGCTGTCTCTGGTGAAGCCTCTCACCGCCCCTGAACCTCTGGCCTGTACCCCAGTTCTGTATGCACAAATAAATAAATCTTTAAAAAAAAAAATTATTGAGAAACCCAGAGAGTTTTTTGTTTTTTGCTATGTTGGCGCTCTTCTTTGATCTTATGTATTGGAAATCAGAGAAGATTTTTTTTTTAATTTTAATTTTTAATTTACTTTAAAATATAACATATACATAGTAAAATAATGTTATGTAATAACATAATTTTAATGGAACTAAAACTTTTATTTTTTTTTTTAATTTATTCATATAGAACTGGGGTACAGGTCAGAGATGTGGAGGGTGAGAGGATTCACCAGAGACAGAGCGGGAAGCAGAACAGGCAGATCGACAAAGTACACTGCTGAGGGGAGCAGCGGGCGGGTCAGGAGAGGTCTGCCGTGCCATGTGGTCACCTCTGGGGAAGTGGGAATCGAACTCATGCGGAAGTGGCTTAAGCTTCTTAGTGCTGTGCTTTTAACCTGCTGCGCCACCAGGGAGGGCCCTGGAACTAAAACTTTTAAGTTAACAGGTTTTAAATTTGTTTAGACTTTTCCATTTGATATGAGGAATTTAAGTTAGAGTATTCAAATTTAAGGTTTTAGTTTTACCTAAGACTAAGATTGAGAGGTGTTGAAAAGAATTAAGCTTGGATTAGTTGCTATATTTAGAAATGCAGACAGTTGTCAATGATTTTAAAAAACCAGTGCAGGTGAAAGGATTTTCACTTTTTTTCTTAAACGTGCTTTTTTATAGAAATGAATTGACTTTTTTAAAGAAGATTTATTTATATATACAGAACTGGGGTACAGCCCAGAGATGCCTGGGGGAAGAGGATTCACCAGAGATAGAGTGGGGGGTAGTACAGGTGGATCTAAATAAACTTCTGAGAAGAGTAGCAGGCTGGTCAGGAGAGGTCTGCCATGCCATGTGGGTCACCCCCTTGGCTAGGGATCGAACTGTGCTATAGTGGCTGCGATAGCTTCATAGTGCTGTGCTTTAAACCTGTTGTGCTAACAGGGAGGGCCCTGATTTTACTTTAAAAAGTCTTATGTATTGATTTTAAACTTTTACCTGTCTTGATCCTAAATGTATTTCATCATCAACATTAATGTTTTTCTCCCCAGATTTTCAGTATTCTTAATTTTCTGAGTTTTGAGTTTGTAATCACTCATTTTTTAAATTTTAAGTTAATCTTTTTGAGGTGAAAATCACATAATTAACCATTTTAAATGTATAGTCAGTGGAATTTTGTGCTTTTATAATGTTATGTAATGTCCTCATCACCCTAAAATACCTCATAGCCATTAAGTGAACACCGTTCCTTTCTTTTCCATGCCTAGATAGCTACTACTATGTCTTTTATGTGTATTTGCCTGTTCTGGGTATCTCATGTAAAAACGCCATACAATATTATGTGGGGTCTTTTTTTTGTTCATTTAGCATTTTCACAGTTCACTCATGTTGAAGTATCTATCAGAACACTTCAACATTGCTGAATAGTATCTTATTACATGTTTTTTCTCAACATGTTTATGCACTCATCTGTTGGACATTTAGGTAATATCCACTTTTGGGCTATTGTGAGCAATCCTCATGTAAATATTCATGTACAGATTTCTATGTAAACATGTTTTCATTTCTTTTGGATATATATAGTTAGCTATAGAATCACTGATTACATATATTTTTGTATTTGATAATTTGAGGAGCTGCCAAACTTTTCCAGGGTGTCTACACCAATTTGTATTTCTTCCAGCTATGTCCTGAAAGTTCCTTTTTTTTTGGTATTCTTGCCAATACTTCCATGTTTAAATTATATTTCGTAATCATCCTAATCAGTATGAAAATTGTTATCTTGTTCTGGTCTTGATTTTCATTTCTTTAATAACTAGAGGAGCTGAACATCTTCTTTATGTGCTTCTTGGTTGTTTGAGTATCTTTGAAGAGATATCTTTCCATTCCATTGCCTATTTTTAAATTGGGTTCCTTGTCTTATGATTGTTGCATTATAAGAATTCTTTGCATATATTTGGATATTAACCTATTTTCAAATACTTGATTTGCTTAGTTTCTTCCATTCTGTAGTTTGTCTTTTTCTTGATAATGTCCTTTGAAACACAAGAGTTACAGATTTTATGAAGTCCAACTTACCTATTTTTTTAAAGATTTATTTATTTATGCATACAGAACTGGGGTACAGGCCAGAGGTGCAGGGGTGGTGAGAGGCTTCATCAGAGACAGAGTGGGGAGCAGAACAGACAAATCAACAAAGTACACTGCTGAAGGGAGCAGCGGGGGAGACAGGAGAGGTCTGCTGCACTATGTTGGTCACCTCTGAGGCCTAGGATCAAAATCCCACTAAAGCAGCTTTGGCTAGCTTGCAGTGCTGTGTGCTAACCCATTGCGCCACAGGGAGGGCCCTCCAACTTACCTATTTTTTAATTGTTAATAATTTTGGTGTTACAGCCAAGAGCCCATTGCCAAATGAGAATTCATGAAGATTTGCAATCTTTTTTTTTTTTTTCTTCTGGTAAATTTATAGACGGATATTGTTCTGGTTTAATTTTTGTCAGTGGAATTAGGTACTGATTCAAATTCTTTTGCATGTCTTGGTACCAATTATTTAACACCCTATTTTTCCCTTTTGAATGATCACTGTATGCTTGTTGAAAATCAGTTGCACATATATGTTTGGATTATTTTTAGACATTTAATGTGGCACTCTTTGGACTGTAAAAATGACATCATGACTTCGATACAGATATCTCAGTGACTAAGACTGTAAAATATTTATATTAACTAGATCTTTGTGCCATCAATCTAGATAATGTACTGTGAGATACATTAATGTAGAAATCATTTGACAATACTTACAGGATTTTGTAACACCTGGTATTTGTAGGTAAAGTGCCATTTTTTCTTTTGCCTCTACTAACATAAATTAGCAGACCTAGCTTTTGTGTTTTTCTTCTAAAAATTTATCTCCACGAATAAAGAGAATATTTACAATTCTTGTAGTGTGTTTTTTCTTATGATCCTTACTTGTTTCTTTATATTTTTGGTAATAAGATTCTTAGTAAAAATAGGTTTGCAGACTAGAAAATTGTATATAATAAAATAGGTGGTTGAATATATTGACCTTCCTAATATATACTTACTTTCTGTTAGAAAAAATTACAGGTTTTAATTTCTGAATACAGTTAAATTATTATCACTTGAATTGAAAAAAAATCCTGTAGAATATTTCAGACTTGCCTGTTTATTTTAAAATTCATGGCATTATATTCCAGAGGAAATGGCAGAACAAATGTACATGAGAAAATACAACTAATGAATATATGAAGAAACATTGTCTTGGTAAAGTAAACAAAAGCAACTGTGAACATACTATCTTATACAAATTTATTTTTTAGGTGTTTTATACCTGCAATAGTAGTAAGTGTTTTAAAAGGAGAAAAAGCCTAGTGTTAGTCATGCTGTAGTGTAGACTATACTGTGTCACTGTAAATGATAGTCTTTTCTGAAAGAAATGTAGATATCAATTATTCTCATGTAATTTCTTATGACCTTATTTTTTTTTTCAATTTTAGATATGAATATCGTGTAGAGATGGTTCATCAATCCTGCAATGATCCTACCAAAAATATCATTCGAGAATTTGCATCTGACTTTGAAGTAGGAGAATGCTGGGGTTATAATAGATTTTTTCGTTTGGACTTACTTGCAAATGAAGGATATTTGAATCGACAGAATGATACAGTGATTTTAAGGTAATAGAAAATACTTGATATTGTGTCTTATCTTGGGAGTATAATGGACTTCATTTTGAATTCCATTCATTTAACAAATTTGAAATTAATAATAAAAGTAAGTATACATTTTCTTTACAATTTTTTTTCAGGAGTCCTGAGTCATCAATAATAGATAAAAGTCAGAAATGTATTTGACACACTTAGCTCCTTATTCTAAAAATCAAAAAAGTGATTCCTATAGATATAGTAATATCCATTTTGTTTATTGAATTATAGCAACCTCACTATTTGGTAATCAAAGAGGAGTGAGAGATCAAGGGCTTATTTTTTTTCCTCTTACATTATTTGTGTATTATATTTGGGTTTTAAAACCTATATATAAGCTTTAAAAACATAAGTTTGCATTTTCATTGTAGAAAATAGGGATTAAAACTGGGGACTAGAGATGAAAATTGATAGAAACAAGCTGATAGTAGTTGGTATATTTTTTGAAGAAAGGACAAGAACTAAAGAACTGTGGTTTCATGACTAAAACCTCAACAGCCTCAATAAATATTGGATTTATCTCATTTTACAAGTCAGAAGTTTTGGGGCCATCATTACATACTCTTTAAAATTGATGACCAGAATGAAAATTTGAGTATTTATTAACTTTAATATTTAAAAAAATAGTTTTAATCATGTTTTGAACTGATGTTTTTGTGTTTAAGTAATGTGTGCTATATGGTGCTTGTGTGTTTTGAGTGTAGACTTAGAATGGTGGTTGAATGAATCATTTTTTTCCTGCCGATGCATGAATGTCACTGACTCAAGATAGGTGTCTGTTCTAGATAATTATTAGGCAATCATTTGATTCCTGTACTAGCTTTAAAATCTTAGAAAAAAAATGGAATGGTGTTTAATATGGGTGGTTAGACTTGAAGAAGGATTTGTTGGCTTCCAGAGTAGTGTTACTTCTTGTGATCTTTCCTATCTTAGAAATACCGAAATATTACTATAATTTTTCATGTAAATTAAGTCATGTTCAGCTATAAGGCAAAGGTAGGGATTAATTTATTTTAATATTAGCTTTTTAAAAACAGCTGCATAGATTATGGCCTGTAATCTATTCATTATTATGTTCTAATACAAATGTTTATTTCCCTAATCCTAGCTGATGTGCCATATTATGACATATGGTAAGTTTTTATTTTAAGCTCCTGTCTGGAGATGTTAGGAATATCAGTTATTTAGAGCATAATCCTTTGGGGAAATGTAAAGCAGTCCAGAGTAGTTGATCCAGTAAGTGATTTTTTTTTCACTGTGGAGAAGGCAATACAGAAATGTGAGATGGAAGAGGAAAGTAAAAAGAACAATACATACAGCTACTTTTATGTAGTTGCTTACTTTGTTTGCAGCTGACTTAGGCAAGAAAATGGGAAAGAAAGCATTTTCTTCCTGCAAAATATAGTTAGTGGTCTTTTTTACAACTCACCATCAGCAGTGCATTTTTGAAATAGGTTATTGTAAAAAAATATGTTTTAGGTTAGTTGGGGAGTTTAACCACAATGCGTAGTCTTTTATTTAGAAAAGTATAGTTTGAGTTTAGACAGTTGATTTGTAGGTGTCTTTTCAGAACTTTGCCATAATTTATAGACAACATGTGTAAGTAGTACACCATGAGCTCTGAGTTCATTTGATTTTTGCCATTATCAAAAATTATAAAACTTACAATTATAAATTCAAGGTTTGGATAATAATATTTCACTGTTTGGATTATATTTCATGTGCAGCTATTCTTTTAAGGTTTCAGGTACGTTCACCAACTTTTTTTCAAAAATGCCGGGACCAGCATTGGTATATTACTCAGTTGGAGGCTGCACAGACTAGTTATATTCAACAAATAAATAACCTTAAAGAGGTAGGCAAATAGCATATATTTGGGTTTAATGTTTCCTGTTGTCTTTTTTACCTGTATTTAATTTGATCTTGGGTATTTCTTGTTTATAATTTTGTGGAATAAGCCCATTATTTTTGTTTCCTGTCCTTGCCTCTTTTGGGTTTCTAATTCTGTATTGTCCAAATTCAGTAGCCCCTAGCCATCTGTGTCTAAGTTTAATGAAATTAAAATTCAATTCCTTAGTTGATGCTACCCACATTTAAAGTACTGAATATCGAACATTTAATATATAGAACATTTCCATCATCACATAAAGTTGTCTCTCATAGTACAATCCTAATTAGTGAAGTTGATCTTTCTTGGTGACTTGGGTATTTATCTTTCTCAGAGCTGACTTGAATTTAAGGATTCTAAACTACAGAATAATAGAAAATTTCTCCATCTTGACTTCTCACTGTTGTTGAACTGAACACTGGGAAGACTCATTTAATCAAATTATAGTTTATAAATTTTAGCTAATTTATGTAGTGAGATTTTGTTTAACCCCTCAGTGGAAATTGGGATGGAGTGAAAGGTTTGAACTACTGAGGGTAGTTGATGAAAGGTAAAAATACTATTAAATATTTACTTTCAGTGATTTTTATGTTGGATATTTAAAATTACCTGTATTTACGTGTGTATTGCCTAATTGTATGTGTAGCCTGGGCTAGATTTGAGAAGCAGGAGAAGAGTAAATTTGGCTGTTTTTCATTTATGGAAAATTCCATAAATGAAAAGCAAGAGAGAGTAAAAGAGAGGGTTCAAGAAGTTATTTTAGGAATATTTGAATACAGTTTTTTCCTTGAAACATTTTTTTACTATATCAAGCACCACTTGTAACTCCCTTTTGTTTGTGCTGTTCTCATTTTAAGAGACTTACTATTGAGTTGTCTCGAACTCAGAAATCAAGAGATTTATCGCCACCAGATAACCACCTCAGCCCCCAGAATGATGAGACACCTGAAACTCGAACTAAGAAGTCTGGGTCATGTACTGACATGTTTCTTCAGGATAGTCCTGCAACAACTTCTGTAAGAGAAGCCAAAGAGGATGAAGAAGATGAGGAGAAAATTCAGAGCGATGATTATCACGTAATAATTAGGCTTATTTTAGATTCATTTTATATTTGATAAAAGAAGTGATACGGACATAATTTGCAACACATTTCAGGGGATCAAGTTTGGGGGAATCAGTGTGCTGAAAGTGTTTTTCATTTATTTTTCTAATTAGAGTATAGTCTTCTGCAAATATTAATGTTTAAAAGTCAGTTGTTTCAAACAAAGGAATTCCTCCCCCCCCACTCCCTCAGTGGTTATTTTTAAGCTGGGAGACTTCAGTTATATATTAAAATGCAGGGGTCAGTGAGGAGAGAAATTAAAGATAGGGTAAGAGCATAAGCAAAACAATTTAAGAAGAAAATAGAAGTTGGAATGGAGCATTCAGGTAAAGCAGTTAACCTTTAATAGGATGAGTTAAAGGATGGATGTATTTGTAGTTAGGACAAGTGAGAATTGAGATTTTTGCTTAATAGCTAGATGTCCTTTGTAAATAGGCGACAGATGAAATTTGAATAGGATTTGAGTTACGCTGTGAGCAATCTTATTGGAAGTTGACATGAAATGTATCAACTATTTGCAGTCACTTTGCAGGCCAGCTAAAACCGATAGTAATAAATTTGTAGTGGTACCTAAGAATGTGGTTGTGTAATTTTCTTTACAAGTTAGCAGCCTAGGAACAGGAGCAAAGAATTTTCATGATTGTTTTGGTTCTTGGACCATGGGCTAAGTGGAATGATGAAAAGAAAAGAAACATCTGTAGTAGAAATCTGTTTCTTTGCTTTGATCTAGCATGAACTTTCAGATGGAGATCTGGATTTAGATCTTGTTGGTGAAGATGAAGTAAATCATCTTGATGGGAGCAGTTCCTCTGCCAGTTCCACAGCAACAAGTAACACAGAAGAGAATGACATTGATGAAGAAACTATGTGAGTGTCTCATAGTAACTACAACTGTAAAGTCTCTAACTGATTTTGTGATCTCATTATTCTTCCTGCATTTATAAATTGAAATTCTAATTTAAGGGGGAGATTTTTCTTCTGCCCCCATTAATTTATTAACTAATTTCAGTAGCATGGATTTACTATTATTAAATGATTTGCTCTATTTACTGTCATTATTAATTTTATTGCTTAAATTCTGCTAAATTTGTCCAGTAGAAATTTGTTAAAATATATCCTCGTGTCCTTTTGAGAAATCTTTGTTATTTTGTAAGTACTTTCTTACTTTATGGCACTACAAGACATTCGATTTGATCTCACTTCCATTCTCACAAGTAAGCACCTCAAAACAGACCATTTTCATTTAATAGTCCCCCTTCTTTATGGCAAGCTATAAAAAATGGGCTAACATGTGAAGCCTACATGCCTTGGAGTTCACAAAGTAAAAATCATTACAGTGATATTTTTAGATGCAGGCATATCTCATTTTATTGTACTTCATATTATTGTGCTCTGTAAATATTGTGTTTTTTACAAATTGAAGGTTTCTGTCATCCCTGCATTGAATAAATCTATCAGTACCATTTTCCAGCAGCATGTCTGTATCATAAACGGGCTTCATGTCACATATCAGTGGCTCTTGAAATATTTCAGAAATTTTCATTATTCTCTTATGGTGATCTGTAGCAGTGACCTTTGATGTTGCCATTATTGTTTTGAGGAGCCATGAACTACACCCTGTATGTAACACGGTAATCTTAATTCATCCATATGTATGTTCAGACTACTGTATCCAACTGGCCATTCCCCTGTCTGGTCTTTCTCTCACTCTCCTTGGGCCTCCTTCTTCCCAGAAACAACAATATTAAAATTAATCCAGGTAGTAACTCTACATGCCCTGTAACTATTCAAATGAAAAGTCTTAAGCTCTAACTTTAAGTAAAAAGCTAGAAATTATTAAACTGAGGAAGCCATATCAAAAGCTGATACAGTACAAAAACTAGCCTTTTTGTATCTCAAGGAAATTAAAAGTACCACTCCATGAACATACAGGGGAATGAAACAGCCTTATTGTTGACATATAAAGTTTTAGTGGCATCGATAGAAGATCAACCAGTCACTGCCATCCAATCCACAAAAGCTTATTTCAGAACAGAATCCTAACTGAAGACTGAGAGAGGAAAAGAAGCTGCAGAAGAAAAACCTGAAAAGTAGTAGAGATTTGTTCATTAAATTTTAAGGAAAGAAGCCAGCTCCCTAATAGAAAAGTGCAAAGTGAAGAACAAGTACTTCGTAAAAACTGTAGCAAGTTATTCAGAAATTCTGGCTAAGATCATTATTGAAGGTGTCTTAAACAGATTTCCAGTATAAACGGAACATCCTACTGTTGGAAGAAATGGCTTCTAGGACTTTCATAGGCAGAGAAGAAAAGTCAGTGTCTGCTTTCAAAGCTTTAAAAGGAAAACTGAATCTCTTGTTAGGGACAATGCAGTTTTAACCCAAAGTTGTCATAAACCAATGCTGTTTTACCATTCTAAAAATCCAGGGACCTTAAAAATGATGTTAAATGTACTGTTTGCTCTGTAAATGGTGCAGCAGAGCCTATTATTTCACAGTTTACTGAGTATATTAAGCCCATTGTTCAGACCTGTTTGCTCAAGAAAAAATGCTTCAGTTCCCTTCAAAATATTAGTGCTATAATGTACAAGTAGATGAATGTTATTTTTATGCCTCCCAGCACAGTCTCCATTTTATATCCCATGGATCAAGGAGTAATTTTGATTTTCAAGTCTAACTATTTAAGAAATACATTTTATTAAACTATAGTCATTGTGTGGATTCCTCTGACAAAGTAAATTGAAAGTCATCTGAGAAGCAGTCACCATTCTATGTATTCCAGTAATAACATTGGTGATTCTTGGGAGGTCAAAATAACATTAACAGGAGTTTTGAAAGAAGTTGATTTTAGTGTTCATGGTGACTTTGAAAGGCTCAATACTGCAGTGGAGGAAATAGCTGTAGATGTGGTAGAAGCAACAAGAGAATTAGAAGTGGACCCTCATGATCAGACTCTAGTGAATGAATTGTGTCTTATGGACAAGGAAAGAAAAGGGCCTTTTAAAATGGAATCTACTCCTGGTGATGATGCTGTAATCATTGCTGAAATGACAAGTATGTAAAATATCAAATAAACATAATTGTTAAAGCAGTGTCAGGATTTCAGAGGATTGACCAATTTTGAAAGAAGTAAAATACTATCAAATGGCATCACATGAAATATCTTTTTTTTTTCATCTCAATTGTAATCCCCACAGATTGAGATATCTTTTTTTGAAAGAGTCAAATTGGCAAACTCCATTGTCTTTTTTTGTTTTTTTTTAAATGCCTCTGCCACCTCAATCTCCTGCAACTACAACCTTGATCAATCAGAAGTCACCAAATTCAAGGCAAGACCTTCCAACAATAAAAAGTGACTCACTTAGATGGTAGTTAGCCTTTTTCAGCTAGGAAGAATTTTTTTTTTTAAAGATTTATTTATTTATTCATACAGAACTGGGGTACAGGTCAGAGTTGCGGAGGGTGAGAGGATTCACCAGAGACGGAGTAGGGAGATGAACAGGCAGATCGACAAAGTACACTGCTGAGGGGAGCAGTGGGCGGGTCAGGAGAGGTCTGCCGCGCCATGTGGTCT